TAAATCAACTTAAAATGCCACACACACACACACACCAAATCATTGTTTCATTGTTCTTCCTCATATTCAGATATTTTTCTTAAATAAACATTCCCTAGGGTATTACAAATTTTGGTTAATTTTCAAAGTTCTAAAAACATTGATTTTGACCATTTTTTCCAATGTTCTTATTGCATTTATGGAGGACTTTCGTATCCTGCTGTTTTCTTATCCATATAATATTTACAGAAGTCTTTATCTTTTGTTTCTTGATAGATGACTACATAGGATGTTTTTAATTTTTATCATTACAAACAAAGCTCTAGGGAGTTCAGGTGAAGATGGCAGAGTAGGTAAACACTGTGCTGGCCTCCTCTCATGACCACATCAAAATTACAACCAAACTACAGACCAGTCGTCATTGAGGATCACCTGAAGTCTAGCTGAACACAAGCGTTCAACTAAGGATATATAGAAGAAGCCACATTGAGACTGGTAGGAAGCACAGAGATGTGGAACACACCGGCCCCATACATATTCATGTGTGACAGTCATAAATCGGAAGGCTAGCTCAGTTGCAGAAGTGCCCCAGCCCCACACCAGGCTACCCAGCCTAGGGTTCCAGTTCTAGGAAGCGAAGTCCCCACAACTTCTGGCTGTGAAAACCAGTGGAAATTGTGACTGAGTGAGACAGAGGGCTGCTGGTGACCCAGGCATTTCTCTTAAAAGGCCTGTCCATGGATTCACTTGCTGACAGACTCTTAAAAGGCCTGTCCATGGATTTCACTTGCTGACAGACTCACTGACGCTGAGCTCCAGCACTGTGGCACCAGTGCAAAAGGCACCAGGGAAATATGAGGAGGAATTGAATTGTCTGGTTTCAGGGTGAGGACTAGAGGGGCAGCTTCCTCCCAGACAGAAGTGCTGGTAGAATCAATTGTTCCTTTGTTGAGCCTTTCCCTAAACCAGCATGCAGACACAGGTGACTGCCTGTCATATCTGAGTCTCCATACTGGTCGCTCTGCCCTGTTGCTTCTATGAGACCCCACCCCACCCAACCTGTGGGCCCACTCAAGCCACTTCCAGTGGCTTTCCCATACAAATGGCCTGTCTTGGCTTATGCTTAGAACTTTCCTAAAATCTTTCAAAGGTTCACAAACTCCAAACAAGCAGAATCTGCCCATGGCATGCCCTATACCTCTTGATAAGCAGCCTTAAGCCTGGCATTAGCAGCAGCTGGCCTCGGTTTGCAGCTTAGCCTCTCCCAGGCACCTCCAAGCCCAGTACAAGTGGCAAGCATCTTCAGATCACTTTGTAGCTCATACCGAGTGGCTCCGGGCAGTGCACGTGTAGTGGCTGAACTTGGCCTGCAACAGAAACCCTCCCAAGAAACCCCAGAACCAACATACCTGGCAGGTAGCTTCAGACAACACCAGAGCACTACTCAGCCATTTCCATAAGAGACACACTCTAAGAGCAGGCTGGGAAGGAAACAGTGCCTGCTAAAGCGAATTTGGCTTTGTAGAGTTAGCCCCTGCACAACAGCTCCTCTACTGCAGTCAAGGACAGTCCTCACAACCAATCGGCCTGAAGGTCAATTTCTCCCATTGACATGCAGACAGCAACCAAGGCTGAATTACAAAAAGAGGACACACACAACCCACACAAGGGTCATACCTGGAGCACTCAGCTCAGGTGACCAGGAAGACTGTGCCACTGGGCCTTGTGCAGGATACCAATTACATAAGGCCACTCTACTAAGATTGGGAGACATAGCAGCTCTACCTAATACATAGAAACAAACATAAGGAGGCGGCCAAAATGGGGAGACAAAGAAACATTTACCAAATGAAAGAAAAGAATAAAGCTCCAGAAAAAGAACTAAACACAATGGATACGAGCAATCTACCAGAGGCAGAGTTCAAAACACTAGTTATAAGGATGCTCAGTGATCTCAGTGAGAACTTCAACAAAGAGATAGAAAACATAAAAATGGAGATAGAAAATAGAAAAAAGAACCAGTCACAAATGAAGAATACAATAACCGAAATAAGGAATATAATAGGTTAGATAAAGCAGAGACTGGAATCAGCAATTTGGAAAATAAGGTA